GCTAATGGCAAGCTGAGCGACAGCGTCTCGGGAAAGCCGGACAGAGCGCGCAAGGGCAGTGGCTGCAGTAGACTCGCGCTCAACGGGTGTGGGGTCAGCGGGCAGAACAGCAGGGGGGTCTGGGCATGGGAGCGTACCGTCAAGGTGTGCGGAAAGCGGTTCACCATCCTGCCGATGGCCAGTGAGGTGGCGACGGAGGTCAGCGAGCCACGCCTCGAACTCCAGAGGCTGGCCTTCAGCGTCGAAGTGAAGCTCCGCCGCCATCAGGAGAAGTGCAGGACTGTACAATGCGGTGCAGTGCGGTGCAGTGCGGTGCAATGCGATGCAGGGCGGTACCGTGCAGTGCAGTGCGGTGCAGGGCGGTGCAGGGCGGTACCGTACAGTGCAGTGCGATGCAGCTCAGTGCAATGCGGTACAGGTGATGGGGAACCGTACCAGGGAGGATGCAGGGCCGGGGCAGGGACGACGAGCGGGCCGCACACAGCTCGGGGCAGTACGGGCGCGGGGGCTAGAAGCAGCGGGCACCAGGCCGACTGAACGGGCGCGGGGCCGGCTGGGACAGGCGCAGGGGCCGAGCAGACGGGCGCGGAGGTCGCGAGGGCGGGCGCGAGGCCGGCTGGGACGGGCGCAAGGCAGGAGCGGCGGGGCCAGGCAGGCGCGGCGGGGCCAGGCAGGCGCGGCGAGGCCAGGCAGACGCGGTGGGGCCAGGCAGGCGCGGAGGGGCCAGGCAGGTGCGGCGGGGCCAGGCAGGCGCGGCGGGGCCAGGCAGGCGCGGCGGGGCCAGGCAGGCGCGGCGGGGCCAGGCAGGCGCGGCGGGGCCAGGCAGGCGCGGCGGGGCCAGGCAGGCGCGGCGGGGCCAGGCAGGCGCGGTGCGGCCAGGCAGGCGCGGTGGGGCCAGGCAAGCACGGCGGGGCCAGGCAGGCGCGACGGGGCCAGGCAGGGTGCGACGGGGCTGGGCAGGGTGCGACGGGGCCAGGCAGGCGCTGTTGGTGCAACCTTCTGGCTTGCACTCGGCTTGTCGTCCTTGTTTGTGTGTGTGCATGCATGGCATGGAATAAATTGTGAGTCTATGTCATTGCTATCTAGTGCTTGTGTGTGTGTTTGAATGGTGTATCACAATGTGGTTTGTCTCGGTCAAGACATTAGCGAGTTTTTACAACTCGCATGTCAAGTCGTCGTTTGCGTGTCGCATGTGTTTTTTCTATTTTGTCGAGTGTGAAGTGTCCATCGCGTCGCAGATGTGTGCAGCAAGCCCCCATCAACTCAAGAAGAATTTATCTTGTAGAACCAAGACCAAGAGCTCAAGATTTCAAGCCCAAGGGACACGGATAAATATTAAATAGTGAAAATAGTAACACTACTTCGTGTAGTGTTACATTTCACTTGGTGTAGCCCCTTGGAGGGTTTGTTTCGAGACTCTTCATGGTTGGGGACTCTGTGGTGGTGTACCACCAACCTGGACCTTGGCTCTTGGGGTATGTAGAGGCTGGGAACCATCTCCATCTAAAATTCTTCTTCCTAAGTTTTTGTACTCCTAAGACTATAGTGGCTGCTGTACCTCCTGCCAGTCAAACCGCCATAGCGTCGTCAAATCTTCATGGAAGTTTATAACTCAACTTGTTGCTGATAGGCAACAGCAACGCACTCCAGATCCAATTTACAGATCACCGTTTAAGGCACACATCAGATCGGCATCAACATTTGAAACTGTCTGACGGAATTATGGCTGTGCACAATTTCTCTCATTTTAGGCACATCTGAGCCTATTGTGTTTATAACAAGTGGTATCAGAGCCCCTTGGAGCCGTCTCGACCATGTCTAGACCTGAGGAAGGGGGTGGCAGAGGTGCTGGAGGCAGAGAAGACGCCCAAGCACAAGGTCAACACCAAGATCCACCCGTTGCTCCGGTGCAACCTAGCCTTGGACCCTCTAGGGATGAGCCTAGAGTGTTTGGCCTTGACAAGTTCAACGGTGACAACTTTGTTGAGTGGTCCTTCAAGATGGAGAACATCTTTGACCACTATGATCTGCTGGAGGTGATGGAAGGAACAGAGAAGCGCCCCGAGAACGACCCGGAGAAGAGCCCGTGGGTGCGGAAGAGCGCACAAGGCTACCTTCTACTTGGGCAAGCGTTGGGGAGCAGCCAAATCCGTCACATCAAGCCTTTTCAGCGTGAACCAGCAAAGGGACCAAAAGCATGGGCTGCTCTCAAGGGTGTACACGCTCCTGCAGCAGTGGCGTTGGCTGTGGTTTTGGAGCGGCAAATGGCGGCACTTCGAATTGACGAAGGCGAACCGGTGGAGGAAGGAGTGCAGAAATTCTTCGACTTGTTGACACAGCTCGAAGAAGCTGATCTGAACTACAGTGACCTTCAAAAGAAGACCAAGCTGCTGGCCTTACTTCCTGACTCATGGTCCTCACTCATCATCAACCTTAATCGAGATCTGCCCCGTCTCTCACTCGAAGATGTAAAGCGGGAAATCTTACAAGAAGATTTCCGCCGTCGCGAATTGGCGGGTCCCGATGGTGCCGGAGTTGCAAGCATGAGCCGTGGGCACGGCCGTGGAAGGGGCAGAGGGCGAGGAGGAAGATTTGGCAGCAGTAACTTCAATGGAGGCCGTGGTAATGGAAGATATGGCAGCAACAACAACAATAATGGCTACGGGCGTGGGCGCGGTCGATTTGATGGCGAATGCCACTTTTGTCACAAGACCGGCCACATGTGGAGAGATTGCTTAAGATTGCCTGATGGATGGACCCCTTCTCAAGGCCAAAAGGGCAGAGGGGCAAGGGGAGGAAGAGGCAGAGGTCGTGGAGGCCGTGGTGGTCGTGGAAGCGAAGCGGCAAGCATGAAAGGTGGAGACTACGACAAGGACTCGAGTGAAGATCGATACCCGGGCCAATTCTTCTTTGTCTCCACGCAAACGGCAGCTGCAGCAGGAGGTGTGGAAGGCTTTGAAGAGCCAGCTACTGTGGGAAAGGTCACCCTTCACTCTCTGGACTTTTGGGTGATCGATAGCGGCGCCACCTATATCATGACACCTCGTGCGGACTTGCTCACCGAACTCGAACCGTCGCCGATCAAGCATGTTACATCGGCTTTGGGGCAGCGAGCAGAGGTGAAAGGCATGGGCAAGGCCATGTTCAAGGGTGCTGATGGGAAGATGGTGGGCCTCAAGAACGTGCTTTTGGTGCCCAACCTTGCAGCTAACCTGATTTTCGTGCGGCGTTTGCAAAAGGCTAGCATGGACACATCTTCCAAGGGATCCAAAACCTATACCGCGAGGCTTGTAGAGCGGAAGCTTTGGCACATTCATGAGGACAGGGACATCTACAATGAGATGTGGCAAATCCCAGTGGTCCCTATGCCTAAAGAGAGGCAAGTGGCAGCAAGCGCCAGCACCAAGAGTGAAGCGGTTGGTGGCGGTGATCACGGAAAACAAAGTGACACCAAGAGTGACTCGAAGGAGTGCAAGCTTGGAGAGACCAGCAAGGCGTGTGAACCCAAGGAGAGTGGTGCAGCAGCTAAAGGTGGTAGAAATGAGGAGGAGAAGCCTAAGATCAGCAAAAAAGCAGCGGCAAAGGAGAAAGGAGAGAGCTTGTGGGGCACAATTGCGAGTGCCGCTTTCTCCAACCCGACTTCCGCTACGGGAGAGTGTGATTGGCTGACCTTGAATCGGCGAATGGGGCATGTGGCATTGCCCATTTTGCAGCAGATTATTAAGCAAGAGATGGTCAGTGGGATACGTGTCAAGGGGGAGCCCAATGAGGTGTTTGGCTGTCCAACATGCATGCAAGCCAAGTTCACCCGCTACCCGTTCCATAGCTCGGAGACAACGGCGAAGGCACCACTTGATGAGGTGGTGATGGATGTGGTGGGCCCCTTGAAGCTTGGAGCCGCTGGAGCAGAGTACTTCCTCACCATTGTGGACGTCTACACTCGCATGACCTGGGTGTATGTGCTGCCCAAGAAGAGTGACGTAGCTGAAACGATGAAGACTGATTGGTTGCCGATGGTGGAGCGGCAACAAGACCGACTTGTAAAGGCGATTCGCACTGACCGTGGGGGAGAGTTCCTGAGCAATGATTTCTCAACTTGGCTGAAGAAGCAGGGTATAAGGCACTCTCTTACCATGCCCTACTCTCCTGCAATAAACGGCATCGCCGAGCGTGCGAATCGGACACTCACGGAGACGGCTCGGGGACTTCTCATTGAAGCCGGTCTTCCCAATTACTTTTGGCCGGATGCGGTGCGGCATGCTTGTGTGGCCAAGAACAGAGCCTTGACTCATGTGGGAGAAGACAAATGGGTGCCCTATGTGGAGTGGATTGGAAGGAAGCCGAAGGTGGATATGCTTCGGGTGTTCGGGTGCATGTGCATGGCACTTGTGCCTAAGAAACTTCGGCACAACAAGCTTGATGCCAAGGCAACATGGGCGGTGCACCTGGGCTTGGCCCAAAACAGCAAGGGATGGCTTCTATGGGACCCATTTACCAAGAAGTTCCTGGTGAGCAGAGATTGCAAGTTCATGGAGAACTTACCGTACAAGGAGTGGAAGGCAAAGAACCAAGCGAAGATTGGTGTGCGGCTTGGAGAGGTGAAGAGGACCGGTGTGGAGCTGCCCTTGGAGCTGAGTAGCAGCAGCACAATCACGAGGCAATCTCCCCAAATGAATGAGGATGAGGAGGAGGAGGAGGTGCAGCTAGGTAATGAGCGTGCACTGCCACTTCCGCCTCGTGCTACAAGTGCTCGCGGGAACCGACCGGATTTACCGCAAAGCCATGAGAGCATTCAAGTCCCTGCAGCAGAGGAGGAAGAAAGGGGGAGAAGGAGGACTCAGCCCCCAATAGGTTGAGCTATGAACGGCTTGGAGGACCAGCCAACTCAACCTTGACCGGTTCGGCTCTCATGCTAGGCGATGATGCGGAAGATGAAAGCGAGGAGTGCGCTTTTGCCTTCTTCTCTCCGGTGGAGATACCGGGGGAGCCTACAAATCCCAAGGAGGCTTGGGAGGGCCCCAATGGGAAGGATTGGAAGAAGGCCTCAGATGAAGAAATGGGGAGCATCATCGAGAACGACACGTTTGACTTGGTGAACCTACCTCCGGGGCGTAAGGCGATCTCTTCCAAGTGGCTCTTCAAGCGCAAGACCGACGCCGACGGCAACATTGAGCGCTACAAGAGCAGACTTGTAGCCAAGGGGTACCAGCAGTAGAAGAAGGACTACAATGAAGTATATGCTCCAGTGGTTAAGGGCACAACCCTTCGAACTCTCTTCGCCGCGGCGGCCATCAAATGATGGGTGGTGAAGCAAATGGACATCGTAACGGCCTTCCTCAACGGCGTTTTGGAGGAAGAGACCTACATGGAGCAGCCAGAGGGGTACAATGATGGGAGTGGCAGAGTGTGGAAGCTGAAGAAACAATCTATGGCCTCAAGCACGCCCCTAGGCAATGGTACATCAAGCTGCGGGAAGTCTTGGAGGCAATCGGCTTCACTCCCTCAACGGCCGATCAATCCTTGTTCATGCTTGGCGAGGGGGAGCAGAGGAGCTTCATGCTGGTTTATGTGGATGACATCCTCATATTCTCACCCTCCTCTGACCTTGTGAAGGAGGTGATGCTGAAGCTTCAAGACAAGTTCAAGTGCAAGACCCTTGGTGACGTCAACTACTACCTTGGGCTCCACATTGAGCGAGATGTGGAGAAGCGGTGGATGCGAGTGCATCAAAAGAAGTACTTGGAGGCCTTGGCTGCAAACGTTGGGAAGAGTGAAGGTCATGTGGCTACTCCTCTTCCCTCGGGGTTCAAGTGTGTGAAAGGACCAGCGGAGGAAAGTGTTGGTGAAGAGGAGAGGCGCCGTTTTCACTCCTTGGTGGGCAGCCTCATGTATGCGGCCATTCACACAAGGCCGGATGCAGCCTTTGCTACCGGGCAGCTGGCTAGGGTTGTCCAATGCCCTAATGAAGAGCAGGTAGTAGCTGGAGAGAGGGTGGCCAAGTACCTTGGCCAAACAGCAACTGTTGGACTGCAATACTCCGCGGCGGCACAAAGGCGTCAAAAGGGTGTGGATCGAGTCGAACCCAGGAGGCTCTTTCTCACTGCCTTCTCTGATGCATCTTGGGCATCAGAACCAGAGGATATGACAAGTATGGCAGGCTTCATTTGCTGTGTTGGTGGAGGCCCAACAGCTTGGGAGAGCAAGAAGCAAGTGGACCAAGCATTGAGCTCGGTGGAGTCCGAGTACATGGCACTCTTCCATGCCATAAGGGAGGTTGTGTGGCAGTGGGGTTTGCTAGCTGAATTGGGGGAGGAGCAGCAAGGACCTACCCCACTCTATTGTGATAGTCAGGGTGCTATTGCATTGGCTAAGAACCCGGTTCTTCATGGCCTTACCAAGCACATGAAGGTGAAATGGCATTGGGTGAGGAGCATGGTAACCTCGGGTGAAGTGGAGTTGCACTACGTGAAGACGACGGCGCAGCCTGCTGATATGATGACCAAGAGGCTGGTTGAGCAGCAGCATTGGAAGTGTTGCAAGCTTGCTGGGATGGCTCTGAACTAAGGGGAGCAGATTCTAAGGCCAACAATCCAAGGGGGAGTTTGTTGGTGCAACCTTATGGCTTGCACTCGGCTTGTCGTCCTTGTTTGTGTGTGTGCATGCATGGCATGGAATAAATTGTGAGTCTATGTCATTGCTATCTAGTGCTTGTGTGTGTGTTTGAATGGTGTATCACAATGTGGTTTGTCTCGGTCAAGACATTAGCGAGTTTTTACAACTCGCATGTCAAGTCGTCGTTTGCGTGTCGCATGTGTTTTTTCTATTTTGTCGAGTGTGAAGTGTCCATCGCGTCGCAGGTGTGTGTAGCAAGCCCCCATCAACTCAAGAAGAATTTATCTTGCAGAACCAAGACCAAGATCTCAAGATTTCAAGCCCAAGGGACGCGGATAAATATTAAATAGTGAAAATAGTAACGCTACTTCGTGTAGTGTTACATTTCACTTGGTGTAGCCCCTTGGAGGGTTTGTTTCGAGACTCTTCATGGTTGGGGACTCTGTGGTGGTGTACCACCAACCTGGACCTCGGCTCTTGGGGTATGTAGAGGCTGGGAACCATCTCCATCTAAAATTCTTCTTCCTAAGTTTTTGTATTCTAAGACTATAGTGGCTGCTGTACCTCCTGCCAGTCAAACCGCCATAGCGTCGTCAAATCTTCATGGAAGTTTATAATTCAACTTGCTGCTAATAGGCGACAGCAACGCGCTTTAGATCCAATTTACAGATCACCGTTTAAGGCACACATCAGATCGGCATCAACATTTGAAGCTGTCTGACGGAATTCTGACGGTGCACAATTTCTCTCATTTTAGGCACATCTGAGCCTATTGTGTTTATAACAGGCGCGGCGGGACCAGGCAGGCGCGGCGGGGCCAGGCAGGCGCGACGGGGCCAGGCAGGGCGCGACGGGGCTAGGCAGGGCGCGACGGGGCCAGGCGGGCGCGACGGGGCCGAGCGGGCGCGACGGGGCCAGGCAGGGCGCGACGGGGCTAAAAGGCGTGACGGGGCCCAGGAGGGGCGCGACGGGGCCCAGAAGGGGCGCGACGGGGCTAGGGGGGCGCGACGGGGCCCAGGAGGGGCGCGACTGGGCTAGGGGGCGCGACGGGGCCCAGGAGGGGCGCGACGGGGCTAGGGGGGCGCGACGGGGCCAGGAGGCGCGACGGGGCCCAGGAGGGGCGCGACAAGGCCCAGGAGGGGCGCGACTGGGCTAGGAGGCGCGACGGGGCCCAGGAGGGGCGCGACGTGGCTAGGAGGCGTGGCAGGGCCCAGGAGGGGCACGACAGGGCTAGGAGGCGCGACGGGGCCCAGGGGGAAGCGGCGGGGCCTAGCTAGGGTACGGGCGGAAGCGGTAGGTGGGGGATCCTAACCTACGCGTGATACCATGTTAAAGTGAGAACTGAATGATTGAGTAGAGAGAGAGTACAGGTGAATATACCTAAGTGTTGTGCCCTCTAAGAGGTGGCCCTATACAGTCTATGCAAACATAGGAGATACACATGTTTGACACTCGGGTACGACAATTGAAAACGATCCCAAAATCGTTTCCTCCCAAACCGCGTCTCAGATTACGAAAGAAACAGAAGCTGGCACCAACTGGGTGCATCCCAAAAAACGGTTTGCGTCAGACACCCCAAATCGCAGTTACCAAATGTCGCAGCTCGCGAAACAGTTGTTACGTGCTAGGTTAAGTGGCAGGTGTGATTTGGCGTTGCGCCACACGAGATGTTCGCGAGGTCGCCTTGTTCTCGCCAAGCCTGGCTTGGCGAAACCCCAAAGCGCCACACGTGTCCATCGATACCAAAACGTAAACCTAATGTCACCATAACGTTAACCTAAGGTCACCGAATCGTAAACAAATCATGTGCATTCACATGCGTCCAGCGTCCCGTGTTACGTCAATTTCGTGCACGTGTCCCCGCGAAATCCAAACGAGGTTAAACTCGGGTTACTTTTCACGAAATGAATAGAGTACGGTATGAATGATTTGGACCCGCCTTAACAGCCGCTGGCAGGGGCCCTTATCCAGTCCTCATCTGGTCCTCATAAGTGGCCCCTGTGAATGGAGGCCAGCTGCTCCCTAACATCCTTAAACCTCGGCCGCTCTCCCGCCGTCCCACCCACGCACACCTCAATCAACCGCCCCAGCTGCTCCCGGCTCGTGAGCTCTGCTGTGGTCTCCGGGGCTGCCAGGCGGGTGAAAAGGCCCTGTAGCAGCAGCGCCAGGGCCCTCACCTCGTGTGACTCAAAGGGGATGCCACTGTGGCGAGGGTAGGGGAATGATGCACCTGCATATGGGGGGGGAGGGTGGGAAAGCGGGGGGGTTGAAGAGCGGGGGGGGGAGTAGACGGAGAGGTGTGAGGAGAAGTGCTGGTAAAGTCCCTGTAGCAGCAGCGCTTGAGCACTATTGTGTGACTCTAAGGGGATGGCACTGTGACGAAGGTTGGGGAATGATGCACCTGCATATCGGGGGGGGAAGAGGAGGGGAGAGGGGGGGGGGGGGGGGGAGAGGGGGAAAAGGGGGGTGTGAAGAGGGGGGGAGAGTAGACAGAGAGGTGTCAGGAGAGGCGCTGGTATCGCTATAGCAAAACTGTGCGACTCTAAGGGGATGGCACTGTGACGAGGATAGGGGAATGATGCATGTGAAAGAAAGAGGAGAGGAGATGGGAAGAGGTGTGAAGAGACGTGGCAAAAAACGAGGTTGAAGGCATGATGAGTGCTCAGCCAATGAAGCACTCTAAGGCGAACGCAATGTTTGTATTGAAATGCTTCCATAGAGTGCACGCTCACCACAGGCACACCCCACCATGATCACAACTCACTAGTCACAACCCACCATTATCACAGCTCACCAGAGTCACAACTCACCATAATCACCACTCACCATAGTCCCACGATACCGCGAACCCCTCATCATTGATGTCCCCAACCCCATGCATACATCGCCTGCCATGCGTCCACCACAGCGCCGATGCCAGGCCAGCCCCTTACAGGCGTCCTCAGTTGGCCCAACAATTGTCACACAACACCGCAAATCCCTCATCATTGATGTCCCCATCCCCCTGCATACATTGCGTACATCGCCTGCCATGCATCCACTCCAGCGCCCATGCCAGGCCAGCGCCCTCCAGGTGACTTCAGTAGGCCCAACATTTGTCACAGTCACAATCACAACTCGCCATAGTCACACAGCACAGCAAAGCCCTCGTCATGGACCAGCACGTTGTGGGCGTACATGTCCCCATGCGCCCACCCCTTGGCGTGCATCCACTCCAGCGCCGCTGCTACAGTGACAACTCACCATAGCCACAACTCACCAACATAATCACAACTCACCGTAGTCACAGAGCACAGCGAACCCCTCGTCGTTGACCAGCACGTTGTGGGCGTACACGTCCCCATGCGCCCACCCCCTGGCGTGCATCCACTCCAGCGCCGATGCCAGGCCGCTACCAACAGCCAGCACAGAGGCGAGCGAGTAGGAGGCGGTGGGGGTCCAGCGGCAACGCAGCAGCGAGTCGGCATTGGGCGGATCTGCCATCGCGCTGAGGGGTGCACGGGGAGTGAAGGGTACGGACGGCAAGGGATGACAACAAACGCACTTGAGCCAGTCCCCTCCTCGCAGCGAGCAGACAGGCAAACCAAAGGGCAAAAAGGAAGGGAGGAGGTCGCACGCCAGTGAGAATGGGATCCTCTAGCAGTCCCTTGGCACCCCCCTCTCTCCCTGCACCTACCTCCCAAACACTCGCCTCATCACCAGCCCGTGGGGCTGCTCCACAGTTGCTTCCACCTGCATGCAGAACATGGGGGGTGGGGAGCGCAGGGGCACACGCCAGACAAGGGACGGCGAGAGAAGAGAAGGCCAAGAAGGGGTGTGTGGTGTTGGGAAGGAAGACATGTACCCCCCGCCTGACCACCCCGTGGGGCTGCTAAACTGTTACCGCTCATCTGCTCGATTACTGTTGCCCCACCTGAACGGCAGGGGGGAGAAGGGAGGAGGAGAAACGAACAGGGGGGAGAGGGAGAGGGAGGGAGAGGGAGGGGGTGGAGAGAGGAGGGTGGGGGTGGGGCTAGAGCGGAAGGGAAGCAACGCTCACCGCATGGCGAGCTCAACGCCCATGAGGCTGCTCCACTCCGCTGTTGCAAGAAGAGCCGGTTTGGGGGAAGTCTCAACGGCAAAATCGCTGTTTCCACTGCCTGATGCATGTCTGCACATTCTACCCTGCACCTCTCCCACACTCTATCTGCACCAGCCTACCCCACACACTACCTGCACCAGCCTCCCTCACACACTGCCTGCACCAGCCTCCCCCACACACTACCTGCACCAGCCTCACCCGCCTCCCCCATACGTTACCTGCACCCGTCCCCCCACACACTACCTGCACCAGGTGAGCCTGGTCCACAGCAACAGTCGTGGCACCACCCTTGACTGCCCCATACACGCCTTCACAACCACCTCCCTCTCGTATGCGCCTCCCCCAAGTCACACCTGCACCAGGTGCTCGTGGTCCACAGCAGCCGTCATCGCGATCTCATCCACGGCCCGCCCGTCCGGGCTTGTCTCGCTGTTGAACTGCTTAAACACCACCTCGTGCCCATGCCACACTGCCGCATACACGTCGCCTGGTTGCAAAAAAAACAGAAGGGGTGGAAGGAGGGGTGGAAGGAGGGGTGGAAGGAGGGGTGGAAGGAGGGGTGGCAGGAGGGGTGGAAGGAGGGGTGGAAGGAGGGTGGAAGGAGGGGTGGAAGGAGGGGTGGAAGGAGGGGTGGAAGGAGGGTGTGTGATCGGACCGTCCGGGCTTGTCTCGCTGTTGAACTGCTTAACCACCACCTCGTGGCTGCGCCACACTGCGGCAAAGGCGTCACCTGAGGTGGGGGGTTCGGGTCTTTGATGGATGAGGACGGGTGGGACCCGCCAGGTGGGAACCGCCAGGTGGGACCCGCCCGTCCGGCCTGCTCTCGCTTTGAGGCGCCTCAAAACTAGGGGTGCCGGGTGGGACCCGCCCGTCCGGCCTGCTCTCGCTGATGACCTGCTTCACCACCACCTCGTGGCCGTACCATACGGCTGCAAACACATC